CTTTTCTCAGTAAACGTAACTTCTCTCAAGCGTAAATCCAAACACGTCTGTCAGTTTACCCTCTCTAAGAAAAGTGTTTTGCAACACACAAATTCGCCACATCTATTCTATTTTACCTTAAAACTTTTTAGGGGTGTGAAGCACAACCTTCACGTTATTGTCGTGTAGCAAGAGTCGTCCATGAGAGAGAAAAAGATTGAAATAGAGATAAAGATAGAGATAAAAATTATTAACTATATCAATCTCTGTATTTTTCCAATTCATTTGTTTACAGTTCTGAAAATAATTAAATGTTTACGTACAATTTTATTAAATTTTTCCAAAAAAAATAATTAAATTCTTTTACAAAAATTTTATTAAAATAGTATAGATATTGAAAATCATTCAAATACGGAAAATTTTTTAAAATAATTAAAATTATGACAAGAATTTTATTGACAGTTTTGAAAATAATTGAATTTTGAAGAAGAATTTTGTTATTTATAAAGATAATTGTGATATTGATGAGAATTTAAAAAAAATTTTGAACATTATTCAATTTTGTGAGAAGAATTTTATTACTTTTGAAAGTAATTGAATTTCTGCAATCATTGTTATAATAATATTAAAACTATATATTCCAATTTATATTTTATTTTTATAAACAAAAATTTGAATTAAAAATTCTGAACTACTATTCTTTTTAAAATTGCTCATATCACTTAAAAAAGTAAGTAAGAAGTTATTGTTGCTAGTACATATATAGAGAGAGAAAGAAAGAGAGACAGAAAAAAATAAAAAAAGAAAGATAGAAAGAAAGAAAGTGATAGTGAAAGAGGGAGAGAGCAGAGAGAGAAACAGAGAGAGAGAAAAGATTTAGAGAAAAGATTTAGAGAAAAGAAAATGTTTAGCGAAAGAAGAAAATGGTGTAAAAGAAAAGAATAGCTAGTTAGCGAAGGGAGTTTTGTTGAAAGGTGAGGAAATGGGTCGTTGCATATTTCTTCGACGCCACTGCGGCCTTATCCAAAGCTCTTAAAAAGCGACATTCTTATTATCTTGCTGTCTTTTTTTCTCCCTCATATCTATTCGCTATCCGTGAATTTTCACATGCGTGTTTTTTGCGTAATTACTACATTGTATCAAGTTCCTTAATTAGAGTAAAAAAAAAGAAGTTTATTTAGAAGAGAGTGGATTATAAAACAAAAAATCGTCATTTGACACAGTTTTAGATTTTAGATTTCAATTATTTTTAATACAATTTTAAATAAATTCCTCGAAAAATGTAATTATTTTCAAAATTTTTTTTGCAAGAATTCAATTACATTTCACAAATAATGAAATTCTTCTCTGAAATTTAAATATTTTCAAAATCTACTATTTTGAAAAAAATTCTTAAATGAATTTAATTATTTAAAAAAATGTAATAAAATGCGTTGCAAGAATTTAATTATTTTCATAAATAATCCAATTTTTTACAGGATTTCAATTATTTAAATAAAAAATTAATAAAAATTCGTTGCAAAAATTCAACTATTTTCATAATTAATAAAACTCTTCACAGAATTTCAATTATTTTAAAAAAGTGTAATAAAAATTCTTTACAAGAATTCAATTATTCTTCTTAATAATAAAATTCTTCACAGGATTTCAATTATTTTTGATACAATTTTAAGTGAATTCTTCGAAAAATGTAATTATCTTCAAAAATATTCAAAATTCAATTATTTTTGAAAATCCATGCTATAATGCTTTTAATATTTAATTATTATGTAAAATTTTAATTGAAATTAATTTTTAAATCAATTTTTATTTGAAAATTCAACGAGAATTCAATTATTTAAATACAAATAAAATGTAAATAAATAATTTATTGAATAAATAAATGTTTTTCAAAATTGAACCCTTATCAAGAATTTTATTAACAAATTTTTAAATAATTGAATTTTTTCGACGAATTTCAAATTAAAATTTTCAAGAATAATTACTTTTTTCGAGGAATTCGATTCAAAATTAAATTAAAAATAATTGAAATTCTATGATGATGTTTCTTATTCATGAAAATAATTGAATCTCGTTAAAAAATTTTATTATTTATGAAAAATAATTAAATGTCTGCATGGAATTTTATTAAAATTTTTTTTAAATAATTGAATTCTTTTGGGAAATTTTATTAAAACAGTAGATATTGAAAATTATCTAATACATCCCTGGAAAAGTTAAAATATTTTTAAAATAAAAAATTTGTAGAATTTTCATGGAAACTCCACGAAAATTCCATGAAGAAGTTCCATGGAATTTCCAGGGGGTACTTGCATGGAATTTTTCGTCGTAGCGACTTTATTTCTAATTTTAAGCAGTAAATGTCAGTTATAGACTGACTGAAGTCAGTTTTTAAATCAGTAATAAATTTTAATTCTAGTCAGGCAAAAGTTTCTATATTTATTAAATTTTATTTTTTTTCAGTAGTAAAATTAAGTTTCTGTCAGACTAAAACTTTTGTTCTAAATTTTTATAATGCTCATGACAGAAAATTTTCTTTATTCATTAAAATTTTACTTTTTAGTAGTAAAATTTAGTTTTAGTCAGCCTGAACTTTTCATTATTCTTTGAATTCAATTTTCAGTATAGCGAAGCTCATTTTTAATCATAGAAAAATAGAAAATTCTTATTATTTTTTGAAAATAGTATTCAGTAGTAAGAGTCAGCTATAGTCAGACTCATATCCTTTTTTAATCAGTAGGTAGTAAATTTTAATTCTAATCAGACAAAATTTCTTTTATTCATTAAATTTTATTTTTCTTATCAGTAGTAAAATTGAGTTTTTGTCAAACTAAAATTTTTGTCACTCTGTTAATATTTATAAATATTAGCTACATAAAAAAAAAAGTTTTTTAAAAATACGTATCGAGTACTTCTGTAATTACACTAATATTTCTGTTCCCATATTTTTTTTCTCTTGTAAAATATCAAATTTAACGAACAGTGGAGTAAATTTTTTTCATGTTTTGTTACAGAAGAATTTTATTTTATTTTTTTGTTCTAGTAAGTGTAGTTTTTTCTAAATTGCTTGTTAGTGTTTTTATGGTGAGAATTTTTATAATGACACGTTCTTTTGAGAGAAATCCGTTTTAATTTGTAAGCAACCATTATAAAGTTTCATGATACGATTAGAAAGCTGAGAGGGGCTACTGAAACGAAACACGCGCGGGGAGGGGGGAGCGTAGAGTCTCTCTGTGTATATAGAACTCACTCGAACTCAAGTTGGATTAGCTCGCCACTAGTAGAAGCTGTCGAGTCACGACAGCGTACTTTTTTACCTCCCCCTCAACTATAGTTAGAGAATACGACTGATGGAAGCTTTTCCTTTATCCTTTTCTCTTTTTTTCTTCTTCTTTTCTCTCTAACAAATGACTATCGTCTTAAAGAGAAAGACACGCTTGTTCTCATTAACTTTTCTAAGCTCTCTTTAGATAAAATATTGCTCCACGATACACAATTCCTCCTTTTTCCTCCTCATTACTTATTATTGATTTTCAGATCAAATTTATTTCTTACTGATATCCTAGTGAACTTTCTTTATTTACTGATTCATTGATAACATTTTTTTCTCTATTCACTTAATCTCTAATTAAAGTTTGTTATATAAATAAAGTTTTTATCATATATTTTTTATTGGCCAACAAATTTTCATGAAACAAAATTTTTAGATAGAAGCTTGATAAAAAAAATACCTCCAAATTTTTTTTTCGTTAATTATTATAAGAATGTGACTTTATAAATTTTATCATAAATTCTTCAAATATTGAATACAAATTTTAATATAAAGCAGAAAATATTTTCGATGAAATTGAGAAAAAAAAATTGTAGATGAGAGAATTCTTTTTTTTTCTTTTTTGAGGTATATTTTTTTCTATACTAAATTATTGAACTTGTGTAAAATGTTTTTCGACCGGAAGTAATGCGAATTGACGCATGAATCATGGGCGAAGTGGAGGAGAGCGGTTTTGGTCAGCCAACCGCTTAGTCAGTAGGTCACTTTAGTTAAGCGAATCTATTATTTTAAGTTGGGTGATTACTTTGTAATTTATATCCTTCTCAACTCAAAGAAGATTAGCGATAAATTAAAAATAAGTTTACGTTTGATAATAAAACTAATTAACTAATATTCGTAAAAAATTTATTTCTCAATTTTCACAGAGTATTGAAAAATTTTTACGAACTGAAGAAATTCGTGGAATTTTTCGAAGTAAAAAAAAAAGATTACTACATTTTTATTTCTTTTTTATATTTTTATCATTTTATTGTTAATTTTATTTTATTATTATATTTTATTCTATTATATTCATTACTTTTTCTTTAATTTTTATTTCAATTTTTATATTTTCTAACATGAGGAATGAGTGATTTATATTTTATTGTATATATTTACTTTTTTAGAAACAATAATAAATTTATTGTAATTTTTTTTTTTAAGTATAAGTGTTGGAAAATATCCTTTCGTATAAATATTAAACTGAATAAAATTTTTAGTCTTTTTCTCCTTAAATCAATACTTGAGCTTTTCAGAATTTACTTATTTAAGAAAATACTACTACTTGTATGCATATACATAAAATAGTCTCTTTGTTGTCAGATATATATTGAGAGCCATCAAACAGCATAAGAAGCATTCATAAAAGGATTTTGCAAGATTTTACTTATTGAATTAAAGATATTCGTATTTTCTGTTTTTAGGGCAAAATTTCAATTTTCCATAATATATGAAACTTATTCATTTCTGATTTTCTGATCTAATTTGCAACTATTTAAAATTTTAATATTTATTAATTTTTACTATTTTTTAATAAAAATTTAGAAATTTTTATTAGAAAATAATTATTTATAATTATTAATTAATAATAAATAATATTATTGCAATTATTAATAGTTTAATAATAATTTTAGTTGCAATTAATATAATTATAATTAATAATAAATAATACCTAAAATTATTGTAATTAATAATAATAATTTTTTTTCAGTTGCCCCATTAACGATGAATATACGAAATAATAAACGAGGACAAGCGATTCGAGGCTCTCAGGTTTTGTTGGAGTGTTCTGTTGGTGCTGCGAGACCTGCTGCCAATGTCACCTGGTTCAATGGTACAACACCTGTCAAAAATGACAGCAAAAGATTGGACATGCTTGAAACAAAAATACTCGAAAGTGTGAGTAATTATTTTCCTTTATTTTCAATCTTGAAAAATTCATTAAAAAATATACAAGTATAAAAAATGATATTAAAGAATATTAAACCTAAATTTTTAAAAAGACAATAAAAGATTGTTTCAGAAGAAAAAAAACAAATAATATTGATAATAAATAAATAATATTCTGTTTTTATATTAGGGGCCATTCAAGTATTTATATTAATTTATATAATTTATTTTATAAAAAAAAAATATATTTCTTTCTGTATCTTCATTTTTTTTTATTGGATATTAAAACAGAATTTTCGAGAAATACGTATACTATATATATGGAGAAAACTAAAAGTTGAAAGTTTGTGTTTTCTCATCAATTTGTCATGTCCGAGTTGAACTGGAGTAAAATCTTTATAAATGGTCGAACTCACTTCAATACTTTTTCATTTTCTACTGAGGAAAGAAAACGCAACCTTTCACAGAGCATCTAATGATTTTCCCGTTACAATACCGGAGCTCAACTCTTTAAAGTTATAAAATCATTCATTACTCTTTTATATTTCTTTTTCTCTAATTTTTTTCATTTTCGCTAAATTGAGAATAAATATATAATATTAAAAATGACATTTATTCATACTATATGTATGTACATTTTTGAAAAATATATATTCTGACAGGTAATTTTATTCCCGTCTTTGTGAAATAATTAAAGAACTCGACAATGTTGATAAATTTGAAATACAGATAAGAAAGTAGAGAATTTTAAAAAATTTATAAATTTTATAAAACAGAAGTGAACATGGAATCTTGATTGATGAAAATTTATAAAATTGAACTTTTCAGAAAATGAATTGTGTATTTCGATTGACTATCACATTTGAATTTTTTAAAAATTTAACATGTTAACCGATTTCGCCCCAGAAGTTCGTTATTTCCATTACATTGTGAAATAATAAAATTAAACAATTTTTATCTTCGAAATTCATTGGAAAAAATAAAATAAGAGCGATGTGAAAAAAAATGTCTTTGTCAATATTTGTGTCTTTTAAAAATCATAATTTGTTTATAAAAATTGTTTTGAAATATTGTTAAATATAAGTTAGTAGTAGAATGTTATCAAAAATTTTTGTTTCACATAGAGTATATAGTCATTTGAAATGAGAAAAAATATGTCAGCAATTTGTTTTTCTGACTATTTAAAATTTTAGTTATTTTATCCGACAATTTTGAATTTTGAAAAAATAAAAATTTCTTATAATGTCTAAAAGAAAAGTTATAAACAATAATTTCTGAGTTAGTAGAAAAATTATCTCTCTAGGTGTAACGTTTTTTCTGAAAAAAAAATACTGAAAAATTAGGGAAAAAAAGGAAAAATATTATTAAATTTTTTATTTAGGTAAACGTTAATTTTATTCAAGAAATTGTATTTTCCATTTAGTAATTTACTCTCCACAATTATGCACTTTAATCAAATGTAAAATTAATACACCTGAAACGTTAGTTACTCCTTTTATGAATCGTGCTTCAAAATTCACCGCATCCCACAAAGTAGGACACATTTCCACAAATGCAGTAGCTCGAAGATACAAATCGAAATGCAAAAAACCTAATTACAAATATATGTTTGAAAAACGAAGTCAATTTAGCAGAAATTTTTTTTTTTTTAAACTAAACAACAAACTTCTTGTCTTGAAATATTTGAATACAATAATTATAAATAAAATACTGTCGCTTTGCAATAACATACAGGGAGAAATTTATTGAAGCGTTGATTTTCAATTAATCCGTGGAATTATTTATGAAAGCTCCTCCCCTCCCCTCTTTGTCCCTCTTTATCCCATTATATATTTTCGAACAGAATGGAAGGCAGAAAATTGGCTCAAGTGAATAACAATATTATTCACATAGTAATGGTATTTATAGTGAATCTGTATGTGTGTAGAGTAGACAAAACTGATAGTCACCAGATTATTATAACGAATCAGCATTGAGTGTGGTCGCTTTATCAAGCTTAGCTCACCACGATATTCCGATTATGGATTTGTATTCCTACTGTTTGCCTTTCATATTCCCCCAGAGCATAATTAGCTTTGTTTGCTAAGTGTCTGATTACCTGAAGGCTAACACACAACGATTTGACTACGCAATGCGAAACGAACTCGTCTGTTGCCGCAGAATTTACTTATTACTTGCTAATTACAAAGTGTATCAAATAGAACTAAATTTATCACGCCTCAGATATTATGACTTTGTCGACTATAATTATTATTTCGATAAAAATTCAACTTTTTTCACTAATTTTCGCCAATATTTCTCTTTTTCGATAGATAGAAAAAATAAAATGTACCGTAAACAGTCCCGACTTACGAGTTTTAAGTAACTTTGGAAAATTTTTTAAATTCTTGTTCGCCATATTGGATCCGACATTTTGAATTTTTAAAATATGACATTATATTCGGAATCAGCGATCTAAAAAACGACCAAGTGACGCATTTTAATCGAAATGCATCAAAATTTTTAATTTTCCCCCATATTGAATCCGCCATTTTGAATTTTTCAAATTTGAGTTGTTTTGCAAAAATTCTACTCTGTGGTGAACTTTGAGAATATATTGGAAACTTTAAATTGACCTTACATTAATTTTCTCACCTTAAAAAAACTTTTAAGAAACCTTAAAGAGTTAAAGGTCAAATAAAATTTTTTTGGAAATTAGTTAAATTTTTTTATATAAATACACAATAAATTGAAAAAAATCCATATAATCATAATTTTGAAAAATTTAAATTGTATTTTAAAGTGAAATTTGTTTTCTTTTTTGAATAATTCAATTATTCTTGATAAACTTTCTAAAAAGTATTGAAAAATCAAAAATAATTATCTATAATAATTCGAATGTTCTTTCATTCATTTACTTTTTCTGTCCCTCACACTCTGAAGTTGTCTTTTGTTTATACTTTTCTTTTTTGTTATCTTTAGATAGATTGTATATTACATTATTATGTTATAACTATTTTCATTTTATAATTAATTCAAAATTTTAATGACAAATAGAAATCATCAGAATTATTTTCACTTCTTTTCATTAAAAGACTAAAATTTTGTTAAATATTATATTTTATCAAATTGAAATTATGCAGATTTTTGTTCTTTACTTCTAAGCAAAATTAGAAAATTGTTAAACAACTGTGATTAAGAAATAGAAAATTTATTTATTTTGCATTATTTTTGTTTATGAATCACAATTTTTTTAAACAAAATTATTATTTTGTTTTAGAAAAAGAAGAAAAATATTTGCACAATTTCTATTTTTAATCTTATTTTTGGAAAAGGATTATCCACAGGAATTAAGACATTCAAAAATTTCAAATTCAAACCTTTTTTAAATTAAACAATTTAGAAAAGTATTGTTATAAAACATGAAGATATCCATTGCTCCGAGTCGAAGACTCGGAGTGATCGATATCTTTATGTTTTCTAATAATTAAAGATGACCGAGAGATAAAATATCATTATTTTATATTATTAGAGTATTGTTACTTAAATTAACTTTTTCAAAATTAATTTCATAATTTTAATTCAATTCTTATTTTCTAGAATTTTAAATTATGTTTTATGAAAATAATAATTGAATTTCTTAAAAAAAATTTAGTATTTATGAAAATATTTGAATTCCTGTGAAATTTTTATTATTTATGAAAATAATTAAATGTTTGCATATAATTTTATTAAAATTTCTTTTAAATAATTGAATTTTTTTTGGGAAATTTTATTAAAATAGTAGATATTGAAAATCATTGAAATTAGAAAAATGCATTTTATTTTTGAAAATAATTGAAATTAGGACAAGAATTTTTTTGACATTGATAAAAATAATTGAACTTTGGAAAAGAATTTTTTATTTATAAAGATAATTGGTATTTTTACTAGAATTTTTTTTCAAATTTTGAATATAGTTAAATTTTATAAGAAGAATGTTATTTTTTTTAAATAATTGAATTTCTGCAATTATTTATAATTTCTCCAAAATTGAATTTTTTTTAGTGTTTTCAGCAAAAATTTAAATTAGAAAATTTTTATATTCTATTATTTTTAAGATTGCTAATTTTATTTTAAAAAGGTAATAAGTATTGTTGCTAGTTGAGTTAGAAAATAAATTGGGTTTGAAAATTCAGGAGAATAATTGAATATTGACAGTGTCACATGTGGCAGAAAAATTCATAAATAATTAAATTTCAAACAGTTTATTTTTAAATTAAAATTGTTGAAAATTTGAATTTTTTTTTCACTAATTTTTTTTTAACTAAAATATTATCGTTTACAATTAAAAATAAAATTTATTTAATGCAAAATTATGGAAAATAAAATAATTTCCAAATTTTTCGTAAAAAAAATTAGTATTGCAAAAATTTATCATTTGAATCTGAATTCGTAAAAATTTAAACTAATTAGAAGAAAATAAGTGATAGGAAATTTACAAAAAATTAATTTTTTAATTTTACATAGAACAGTAAAAGTTTACTTTATGTCTTAGAATGTTAAATTGAATTTACATTTAAATAATGTTTAATAATAAAATATTTCTTTTATAAAATTATAAAGGGCTTTTTGAATTTCCATTAAAAATTCTAGAAAATATTTGGATTTTTTAAGAATTAGTTACTTTAGAAAGAATTAGCTAGTTTTTAGAAATAATTAAATTTTTATGATTTAAATTTTTATATTTCAACAAATTTTATTACTTTTTTTATTACTTTTTTTCAATAGTAACGACAGTTTTTGAGGAAAAATGTTAAAAAATATATCAAAAAAATATTTTTAAATAATTTAATTTTACAAAAACTTATAATTGAATTTGCCATTTAAATAAAGGAAATAGTTAGAAATTTTTCTTGTAACCAGGAAAATTTTAGAGAGACAAAAAATTAAATTTTTGTGAAAAATCTAAATAAAACGTCTTTTGCGACTATTTGTGTACTTCGAATTAAATTGAATTTAAATGATTAATAAAATATAATTGAATTGAA